TTTTTTTTAAACACCCACTAGGGGTTTGTTTATTTTAACTCAATTATTAACATTATTTATTTTGAATTGTTTTTGCATGTGTGTTCACCTATGTTAGAGTATATTGTGTCTCTAGGGTATGTCAAGTATTGGATGCCAGGACTGTAGGTTTCTGGGCTGCAAAATGATAAGTTGCCAGTAGACATTCTTACCTGTAATCTGCACATACAAGAATTCATCCTCGTGGTCTTTAATTTTGTATACATATCCTTGGATCTCTGTAAGAGTGGCAGCAGGGGCCCCAACCTCATATCTGACCCCTATGCCCCATTCACCTCTTGGGTAGCCCTGCAAAAATGACCATGTGGGAAAGGAGACCTAGGCACTCCATGGCCTAACTATTATTTTTCCCAGGTCTGTCCGTGTGAGTCAGACCAAAAGTCTCCTAGTCTAGAATTTTCCAGGGTCTCAGACAGAGCTTTTCCCAAGCCTACTATCTGAGATTCTGCATCTGAGGATACTGGATCTCAGACTTGACATAAGAGCATTTTTTTTAAAAAAAAAAAAATCAGCCCCACAGAGCTGTTGCTACAGCCTGCTGCTTATTGTTATGGCACTTACTATTTTAGAATTATCCAGATAATCTGTGAAACAAGTAGCCCAAGAACAGTTTAATTTTTATGTAATGGCCCTCCGAGTTCCCATTAAAAGAAAACAGCAAGCTATTCTAGCCCACATAATGGCCTTAATCTTCTGCTGAATGCTTGGGACTAGTGGGACCTTTTGTATGAATCCTTATAAGACATAAGACATAAGACATAAGAAATTTATTTGTCATTGCGCTCACAAGTGGGTGCAACGAAATGAGGTGCTCTTCCCCAAGGGGCTTCAGTATTCCTGGAACATTTTTCCACCTACAAACTGGTCAATGGCTGTGCAAATCTCTTTGTTTGATTTTGAAAGGTCTGCCTTGGATTCATATTGAAATCATGCTATCATTTTTGAGACTGTATCCCAGTACAGCTTTTCCCACTCTTTATCCACTCTATGAGGGCTACTCCATTTCTTCTATGGGATTCTTGCTCACAATAGTAGATATGATAATCATCTGAATTGAATTTGCCCGTTCCCATCCATTTTAGTTCACTGATGCCCAGGATGTCAATGTTTATTCATGCCATCTCCTGTTTGACCACATCCAGCTTATCAAGGTTCATAGATCTTACATTCCAGGTTCCTATGCAGTATTTTTCTTTGCAGCATCGGACTTGCCTTTCAGTTCCAGGCGCATCCACAGCTGAACGTCCTTTGGGCTTTGGCCCAACCACTTCATTAGCTCTGGAGCTACTTGTACTTGTCCTCCACTCTTACTCAGTAGCATATTGGAGGCCTTCCGACCTGAGGGGCTCATCTTCCAGTGTCATATCTTTTAGCCTTTTGTTTTTGTCCATGCAGTTTTCTTGGCAAAGATACTGGAGTGGCTTGCCAGTTCCTGCTCCAGGTAGATTGCGTTAATCAGAACTCTGAAAAAACCATAGATTAGATATAAACATAGATATATTTAATTTCTACCCTGCCTATCTGCCTACAGAACACAAGGATCTCCAGATGTGGAAACCTTTTGTTAGTATAGAAAAAATTCTGACTGTGAGCTTAATTTGGCTTGCAAAGGATCTAAAGAAAGCTTGGCCCCTTTCCAAGGACTCATACTTGTGAGCTTCCTCCTATCCAATGACTGTAATCCTATGCCCACATCTAAACCAGAACCCATTAACATATGGAGCAAACATGCACATACCTGGTGTTGTGAGAGCTTACCTGTTGGAATGTTGTAATATGCAATGGTCTTCACACTGATTACCTTTTACATCTAGAAGGAAAATGTTAACCATTACTTGACAACTTCTGGATCAAAAATGTGCAGAGTGCAAGCTGAGTGAAACTAAGGGTGGCCCCTTCTGTAAACTACAAAGAGGATTGTGGAACCTTACATTCTAACTAATCAGTTATGGCATAAACTTTCATGCACCAGAGTCCACCTCACTGGGCATGTGAGATGTCATCTTGGGTTAGCACAGATACGTATACATGTGCAGGCATGCACACACACACACACACACAGAGGGAGAAAAAGAAAAAAAAACTTATCAACAAGACCTGAGGAGGATGATATTGCAGAAATTCAGACTAATCATTACATCAAGCCTCTGGTATATGCAAAATAACTTCCATTGATGGCTCACAAAGTACTATCAATAAACATCTTAGTGCTGATAAAGTGAAAGGACACCTGAACTGTGGACAACAAAACTGCAGTCTGACATACATACTTCACAGTGAGACCCATCAAATCGGATCAGTATTACCCTTTTTACTATGGTTGTCAATCAATGAAGCAGTAACATGAGCTAAAGAGACAGGCTTCTCAAAGCCCCAGGGAACTTAAAGCCATAGGTTTCTAGAGCAGCAGAGAAAAAGGAGAGGCAAGGACAGTAGGGCACAAATGTCAGGAAAGCTGCCGGTGTGTGTCTGTGTGTGTGTGTGTCTTTTAGGATGCTGCCTTCCAATCCCTATCTGCTGAACAATCAACAGCATCCCTGTTGTTTGCAAGCCTCCTGTTCGCTGCCAGATGGCTGAGGAGAGACTTTTTCAGACCTGACTTATATTTGCTTCTGTGCATCTTCCTCTCCAAATATAAGAGGATGGTGATCCCCAAAGCCTGCACACAACTGTGCAAAAAAAAAAAATCCTAATAAAAGTTTCGTTGGATTTCGGGGTTGGTTTAAAGTAACATTACTGTTACCACGTGGGGGTTGTTTCCTGTTCTCAGAACACTTTCAGAAGCGACGGGTTCCATTTGCGTCGCTGGCTGGTTGCCCCTCTCCCCGAAGGAGAGAGGTAGGTGGGTGGGTGGGCAGCCGAGGAAGCTCCACTTGAAGTAATTATTCTAACGTTACCTGGCTTGTACCAGCGGGTAAAATACCGCTCTGTCACGGCAGGCACCGTTGCCATGGCAGCTGAGCCCGCAGGGCCTTCCGCCGCCATGCGAGACGCGTGCGTCAGCCGAGCCCCCACCCCCGGAAAGGCCGCGGCCGCTTTCGCTCAGGGAGTCCACAAGCCACACACAGCAAGGCGGGAAGGCGGGGAGCCCCCTAAACCTCTCACCGGACGGAGACCCGGAACAGCCTCCCGACCTCAGGCTTGTCCCCGCCCGGACCAGGAAAGGCAACGCCTCGCCTGGGCAGGAACTTCCGGGCTCACGTGGGGAGCCATGTTTAAATCCCCCTAGGCTTTTTTTTTACGACTTAAATGTCCTCAAGAGGTTCCCTTGTAAACCGAAATCCACGAACAAATGCCTAGTCGTAACTACGGAACAGAAGGCGGCAACAAACAATGCCAATTTTTGCTTGTTATTTTTAGGGTCTCTTAAATCGTTTCCGAGTTATGGCGACCCTAACAGCGCTCTCAAGATGAAAAATAGGATCCTGGCTGCAGAGAGCAATGGGGTTTTTGCTGCCAGGACTTGGAGCGGGGGCAGAAAAGCACAGCGGTCCCCCTCCCAGCTCAATTGCATACAAGAAAGAAAAATGACTGGCAGTGCAAACCTTTGCATTTTTAAATGGCTGAATTACAAAAATGTTGAAAAAGCTAGTCTCTGGTAATGCTGCTACTGTTCGTTGCTGCTGCGAAGAGAGAACACTTGCACCCCGACTCTGCAATTTTTCGATTGCCTGCGGAACCCGGAAATTCAAATGATCTCACACGGTGGATTCATTTTTCTCTCTCCACGAAGATCGTAGATGCAATTTCCCACTCTCAATGTTTTGTGGCCGGGTATGGGGTTTCCCATTTAGGGGTACACAGGAACTGAGATGCCGTTTCCTTCTCCGTCTGATTTGCACGTATAGCAAAAACAAGTGCTTAAGGATTGCCGGATTTGTTTTAGCGTGAGATTTCGTGAGTCACAGCCCACTTCCTCGGACATCCTCAACCATCAGTCAGGTCGGCTGAATCTTGGTTGATCAGTTTTACCGCTATTCGTTTTCAAGTCCGCCATTCGCTTTCAAGCCGATATTATATTATCCAGCTGTCTTATTAGCTCATGGCAGAACGATTTTAATTTTGGTATTTTGACAGGTTATCTATCCAGAGCAAAGCTGCTTGCTTACCTTCCTTACATAGTCTCTATAGCCAGCTGGCCTACTCCTGGGACTTGATAGCTACTACTCCAGTCATTTCTCCTCTCTCCCATTCCCATACTATATACATTCCAGATTTTATAAATAAACAAAGCTGTGTAGTCTTTACACAACACAAAGCAAGGATAGGTAATAGCTGATGAAGCCTAGTATACAGTGGACCCTCTACTTAAGGAATTAATCCGTATTGGAATGGTGGCTGCAAGTCGAAAAGTCTGTAAGTCGAATCTCCATTGACCTACAATGCACTGAAAACCAATTAATCCCATAACCAGTGGTTTTTATTCTATTTTTATTCCATTTTGGTTTTTTTCTGGTCTGTAAGTCGATTCTCTGGCTGCAAGTCGAATCTAAATTTTGCAGCCAGAGAAGTCTGTAACTCGAAAAGTCTGTAAGTCGAGCCGTCTGTAAGTCGAGGGTCCACTGCAGGTTGAAAATTAGTGTTGTTTTTTTTTATTAGTGGTGTAATAATGGGATCACTTGCCCTTGCTTTTGTATCCCATACAGTATTTTGTAACTCTAGCATTTCCATCCAGCTTCCTGGAATGCTGATAAATCACTCATCCCCTTCCTGCGCCCTCCAACTGTTTGCCTACATTTCTACTCCTGTTAATTAGAACATTAACACTATGGCATGGCACAGAGTGTCTGAGGACGTGGATTCTAATCCGGATAAACTCGCACTTAAGGAAACCTGTTTAAAAAGTGTCACAACAGTTCAGCTTGGGTTTTTGTTATATATACTGAAACATGAAAGGCAGGACTACAGAGCAGAAAAAATACTGATTGATCTGCTGTGATTCACTCCCATGGAAATTGAATTCCTAGATGACTTCTCCACAGATGCCCATATTTGCAGGAGTCAGCAAGAGGTTCAGCTTGGTTTCTGCTGAGTTCCAACAGTAGAAGTTGTCTTAATAAGGGTTAGGGTTCGGGTGAGCTCTTTTAATTGGTCTCCTAAGTGCTCTAACAAAAGCCCATTCCAACACTGAGGTCAAATTTTATTTAAAGAAGGAGACAGTTTGGAGGCAAGGGGCATTCAGTTGGTGAGGACTGGCACACTGTGAGCACCCCTTTGCTTCAGGTCACATTGACAGAAGGTGGACAAAAGCAATGTCAAACTGATAACAACAGATTTCAATTACCCCTGGTGGTTGAACAAAAAAACACAATTCCCTGATTTAAAAAAAAGATGATTCCACAGCAAGCTTTGTCAGATGGAGCTTTACATCATGTAGTTACTGGGCTTTAATTCAAATTCATCAGTGCTCAATCCGACAAAAACTTAAGGGTAAATAGCCAAAATAGGTTCCCCTTGACATTTAGTCCAGTCATGTCTGACTCTAGGGCACGGTGCTCATTCTTGTTTCCAAGCCATAGAGCCAACATTGGTCCGAAGAGTTTTTGTAGTCACGTGGCCAGCGTGACTAGATACAGAACACCGTTACCTTCCCACCGAGGTGGTAGCTATTTATATACTTTCATTTTTACATGCTTTTGAACTGCTAGGTTGGCAGGAGCTGGGATAAGGGACGGGAGCTCATTCTGTTGCATGGATTTGATCTTATGGCTGCTGGTCTTCTGACCTTGCAGCACAGAGGCTTCTGCAGTTTAACACACAGCGCCACCACGTCCCTTCATCAATGCTCAATCTGACAAAAACTTAAGGGTGAATAACCAATATAGCCATTCCTTAACATGGGTAATTCTTTTAAAATTAGTCCCGCGCTGCTGCTTATGAGCAGAGAACCTATTTCATCTATAAAATAATGACTGATATGTTGCTCCCCTCCCCCATGGGCACTTTCAACCTTGATGTTCTTATGCTACAGTTAATACAATTTCCTTTCTGTGACTAAGCAGTTTTCAATTTTTACAGCCTTTTGGGGAAGTTATATTCTGTTTTTCATACCCCCATTTAACCAGTACAGATTGAGTAAATGGCAAGTCAGCAAAAGTTTGTTTCCTGTCATATTGTTAAAAACTTAAGTCCACAAATGCTAACTTTCAGCAAAATAAGGTTATTTTAATACAGTACCAAGTTATCTGCAATCCTGGGATATTAATATCAACCACTAATATGACATATAAGCACACGTTATTTGTTTTCACCCAGCAGAAAAGGCAGAGTAAGGAGGAGCTGAGTTATATACTACTTATTGAGCTCCACATGATTGAATTCAGGGGAGATAAACCTTTTTGCCATTGCAGTTTTTACTGAAACAAGTTGCTGCTTCTTCCCCCACCCCTTTTTTTAATCAAAGTCCGGTTTCAGCTGGGGAAGACTAAAGCTTAATGAGGCACAGTTTGCACACAGATCAGGAAAGGACAGGTTAGTCACCTGTAGCTGTGTTTCTTTGAGTGATCATTTTGTGCATTCACACACCTGTGTTAGCACAACTGCACCAAGCACCATCTCTGCTGACTAGGATTTCTGGGAGCTGAAGTCCAAGAACATCTGGAGGCCCAAGGTTGAAGACCACTGTTCTACAGCCTGCAAGCCCAAAGTTTTATCCTTTTCCCATGCCTAGTGCACATACCCCTCTCCACCACTTCAGTCCCAACCTCTCTACCACAAAGCCACTATGGAGAAAATTTGACCAACTAAAGAGATGGGAGGGTTGTGTGAAGGCACAGAATGGCCACTAGAAGAAACACAATAGGTGAGCAACTTGTCTTTGTGGTCTTCTGTGATTCACATAACTGGGTGATTAGCAAGTACATCTACTGGAGGTCTAAGCATGAAGGTCTAGCTTGTATTGATTAATAAATGTTATAGACTGAGATAAAGAAGCAGCTTTACAAATATGCAGTGGTACTCCTTTCAGGAAAGCAAAATATCCTGCTTCTGCCCTTCTTGAATGATTTTTAGCTTGCCAGATAAGGGAACCATAGCAATTTCATGCACCAACTGGATCAAATTAGCCCATCTCATTTGAAATGAGACAGAAAGACCCTTACAAGGTCTCCGATAACAAATTAAATGTCAAGTTTTCCTAAATTCCTTTGTCTTTGAGATATAAAAGGCTAGTGCCCTCCTGATATCTGAGTTATGCAAAGACCTTTCCAGTTACGACAGTGGATTTTGATAAAATGCAGGTAACACCATAGCTTGTGATGTATGGAAATGTATCACCACTTCTGAAGAAAAATAATGTCACTTTGTCTGTACTAAATGGAACGTAAAGTACATCAGACCTTAGATGTTTTTAAGTTTTAATATTGTTGTACGCTGCCCAGAAGCCACTGGTAATGGTGCAGCTAAAAAATCCTTTAAATAAAATACTGTAAATAAACTCATTTGCTCTCCTAGCCAATTGTAGTGTTCCCCTTTATTAGGTCAATGGTTCATGTTTTGTTATGTAATTGTTCATGCATATTCATGTTGCTGAGAGGCGGAGCCAAGTGAGATGTTATAAGAGGCGGAGCCTGAGTCAAAATCAGTCAGTAAGAGTCAGAGTGAGAGAAGGGAGAAGGAAATAGAGTGTGGAGTTTGGGGAATTCTGAGGTATGATTAGAATAAGGAGTGTATTATTAAATAGGAGGTAGTTGTTAATAATAAATTTACCTAAAGAAGATATTCATGAATCAATATCAATTTCTGTAATCAATTTTAAAAAGTCCTATTTAAAAGACTTTGAAGTGTGGACCTGAATCTTCATCTTCCTGAAGTAATGGTGATTTAGAGATCACCTGGTGGCAGCAGTGTAAAAGAGGGGATTGTTTGCCTTCGTGTGTTCTGAGTCTTGATGGTCAAGAAAGGGGTCCGAGGGTGAACGCCACAATTGGTGTCCAGTGGCAGGATACGAAGGAATCCAGTGAAGCCTGAGTTTGAACTCGAAGAACTCCAGTCAAGCCTGATTTTAAAAAGCATTTTCTTGAGTCAAGGGTACCTTTTCGATAGAGGTCTGTGGCAAAGAAGTTTGGTTCCTCACTAGAGCTTTTGGGAAAAGCTTAGTG